CTAGACGTAAATGGCAAGAGTTGCTGATGCAACTCTTATCTGGGTGACCCCAGACGATAAAATCAGAAAGACGTGACTTGGAAGGACCTTTTTATTCAAATGAACTGAATTACAGTGTTTCTCTTGTAGAAGATTTTGATATAGATGAAAGTACTATGTCTCTATTTAATGAAAAGAATTTTGCCAAGTAATTAAGTCACTTAAACCGAATAGGGCCCCAGGTTTTGATCTCATTGCTGCTGAGATATTAAGAGAATTAAGAACAAAATATGCAACAATTGACAACGTACATAGAATAACAAATATTGCGATAAAGGCGTTAGAGGAAAGGCAAAGACCCTTTGTATACAATAAAAATTACACACATTTTATTATAAATTACAGTAACCAAACTTACATTTTAATAATTTTTTGACTCCTTTGTATTATTTACTTTGAAATTTAAATGAAAATGGCTACCGATAAAACTTTAAGTAGTTACGAATTATTCACGAAGAATGTGATTATTTGTAGAACTTTCCTAATAATATTTGTTAAAAAGGAATCTCAGAATACCAAAGTTACGAAAATTTGGAGTCAAAATTTATTCGTAACTTCCAAAGTTTAATTTGGTAAATTTTAGGATCTTGGAATGCCATTTTTCTATTATACCCGAAAAAACCATTAAGACAGATCTCAGAATAGGCATATAAATTTTGATGTGAAGTTTGAGCGCCATCAGATAACTTCAATATATGCACTTTGCGAACTATAACTAGACTTTATCGTCAAGTTAATCTTAGATTTTGTCGTATATGTAAACAGTTATTTAGAGCTTTTCTTTTAAAAAGTAACATGATGGACCTTATTCCATCATTTAATTTTTCAAATTTTAAGTATTAAATTGGTATACGTTGCATATATGACCTTTGAATTTCTAAATTCTTTTTTAAAAAACAATCTGAGAGTTCTATTTATCAAGTAACAATTTTGGCAAAAGTAAAATTTTACACTTAAATGAAACTTTATTGAACAAAAAATTAAGTTTGTGGAGTAATAAAATTAGGATGCGGAGTACAACAATAATTCGGTTAGAGCATTCGAATAATCACCTTGCAAAACCTAAGAAACATTGCGTACCTCCAAAATGACTCCAAAATAGCGGGCGGACCGAAATAAGCCTTATGCGACGTTATATAAGCAATTTTGTGGATACCTGCTATGGCTGTTATAGGCGCTATGACTGAACAAAAAGAGCATCGCAAAAGAATCTTAAACAGGCAAGTTCCATTCTATCAGACATTTTTTCGTCTTCATATAAGAGTTCGAGAGACAGGCAGCACAAATACGGAAGATGGGATACCTACGTGTATTAGACAAAATCTGAAAATTAGCATAAGATTATTGTTGCGCCTCAATATCTCACGCTGTACTCCGTAAAAATTTGCTTAGTTATCATACCACACCAATTTTGTATTTGGTGTGGTATAGTAGTAAAATAACGTACAATTTTTTAATAATTCATTACTTGTACATTACTTCGATAATAGAGTTTTATGCGGCATAACGAATTTTCACAACCTATATAAATTTATAAAATAAAGGATTGCCGAAACCATGTGAGTTCCACATTTATCAAATTTTTTTTCTGAAAAATGGATGGCGCGTCTTTACTTTATAACGCAGCGTAGTTATAATAATGCAGTTTAATGTTCTTATAATAATGCAGCAATGCATTGTAATGCAGTGTAAACCCAAAAACTACAAGTAAAGTTTTTCTCAAGTCCGAGCATTGTCAAATTGGCAGTTTACATTAATTAGATATTGGCAGTTTAATATTAAATATTTTTTTCTAGAAAAATCAATGATTCTTAAGATAAGGTATAACGTAAGTGAGTATATTGATTTTGATAATTAAAACAAAATAATTATGCAATAGTAATAATTTAAATTCATGATTCTTGAACTCATGATTTCAATTTAGTTTTATTCAACAAAACTAAAATTCATGTTAAAATTTAAATAAATACTCATATAAAATTCTTCAAAACAGAATTTTTGGACAGCAAAAATCACCTCTTTTGCAGAAAACGAAACGGTACTCGAAACTACAAAAATTTACAATATTTTTTCTACACACACTGCACATACTGGAAACTACAACATCTAATGCTAATATAGCATCTGCAGCTAATATAGTTGGAAATTAATTAAAGTTGAAGCCAAAGCAAAATTTCAAAGTTTCAAAAAATTTTATACGAAATTTTCGGGCTAGAGAAAACTAAAAAATTAAAATAAGGGAAAAATTTTACTTTTTTAAAGTTCAAATACTTGGTTTTCCGAAAGTACATGAAATATAAAATTAAGTAATGTATAGCCTTTTCTTATCTCTTTTAGAAACTGTCCACTTCAAGCTTCTATCTTATTCGGAAGGGAAGCTATTAGCAAAAAAGCTTGTGAAGTAGAAATTTCGTGAAAATTCGTTAAAATCCCTATATTTTGGAAACCGTTGAGATTTGACAACTACTTCCAAGCAAAAATTTTACCCATTTTTGATGTCCTAAACAATAGGTGTTTTTGAAAATGCAATTCTTAAGGTTAGAGTTACACATTTAATTTGGACACGAAGCTTTAAAAGCTTTACAGATCTAACCTTAAGAACTGCATTTTCAAAAACCTCCAGTGATATGTAATATTGTACTCTTTACTGAATTACTTTGCTGTCAGAAAATTTGAATGTGTAAAATTGGCTTTGATAATAAATGCTTTGTGTTAGTAAGCCAAGGCTTATTTAAAACGCCAATAACACTAGTGGCAATACCTACGAAAAGCTTTTTGACACAATTATGTGTTTTGGTAATGTCTTTATATCTAACAAGTCCCAATAATGTCTTTATATCTTACAAGTCCCAATGCTCAGAGAGAAACTTGAAAGCACGACCTTATTTTATATGGGTTTTTTAAATCGAAGTGGCTATTTTTTGAGAAGAAATATTAAAATAAATTCACACTTATTATAAAGCAGGTAAAATTTACAAAATATATTTGAAAAATCAAAAAAATATATTAATATTTTCATTGATAATTATTTTAAAATTATAAAAAAAAGCGGAAAAACAACAAGCACATCCTTCACATTTAAATTCTATTGCACGAAAAAGAAAGAAAGGTAGGAGGAAAAAAAAATGAAAAAAATTTCAAATTCATATTTCAGTATGGTTTCAAATGTTAATGAGGAAGGATGTATGATTTTTTATGCACATTTTGTATTTCCCAATAAGGTAAGTTGAGTAGTGTAAGTGAGTAGTGACATTTCAACACATTTGAATTATCTCATTTCTGTTATTTATACGTTACTTATAAAATTGTTTCAAATAATTTCAGTTAGTTTTTAAGTTATTAAAAACTAACTGAGTATAAATATGTATGTACCTACTTCCAATAATTTTTTTTTAAATAATTATTTTAAAACTATTTAAAACATGTTATATTGAGTGCTTCAAAAATTTTGTTGTGCACTTCTTGCATATTTTATTAGCAGGTAAACAAGAGTAATCTATTTATAAAATGGCCCTGCCTGTGTATGAGTCTTAATAGTAAACGCAAACTGACAAAAATTTACATTAGTACCTACTACCTGTCATTTTACAATCAGAGTTTTTGAGTCGTTGAAAAAAATAAAAAAGATATTCGAATCCGGTCATAAAATATATTATTGTTTTTTTCCAGAACCTTTTAAATATTTTTTTACTTAGGTAATAGGTATATTAAGTCTTAAAAAATTTTCTCACAAATAGAGGTAAAATTTAGAAGTGTGTACAAAATTTGTATTTTAAAAATGATTTTTGATTGTATTTTAAATATTATTTTCTAATTCCCTCTTCAAATTTTTTCTTTACTATTTATTTATATAAATATTCAATAATTATCTTTCATTAATTATATTTTCAACTTGATACCAAATTTACTTCACATATCTGGAGCTAACTTACCCTATAAGAAAAAAAGCTGTTCATTTAAAATAATGAAATGCTTTTAGTAACATATAAAACGTTGAAGGCGAAGGATGTGCTTGTTGTTTTTCCGCTTTTTTTATAATTTTAAAATAATTATCAATGAAAATATTAATATTTTTTTGATTTTTCAAATATATTTTGTAAATTTTACCTGCTTTATAATAAGTGTGAATTTATTTTAATATTTCTTCTCAAAAAATAGCCACTTCGATTTAAAAAACCCATATAAAATAAGGTCGTGCTTTCAAGTTTCTCTCTGAGCATTGGGACTTGCTAGATATAAAGACATTAGTTTTGGCGAATTTTTAAAAATCAGTATTTAATACTCATTTTTTATATTTTAATGTTTAAATGAAGATGTAGAACGAGCGCTATCGTTTGATTCTTTGGATACGGAGCAGACATATTCGAAAAAGAGAGCCATTTTCAGAAAAGTGGAGTAAATTCCTATATTTCATAAAAACACAAATCACAATACTTCAAATTTTCTTACTATAAGTTAAGCTTCTCAATTAAGTGTTGATCAAATTAACAGAAGGAAATACCCGCCCAACTGCCGCACAATGCGTTTAACTGAGGGAACTTTGAATATTTTTTTCATGTTTTCAACAGCAAACTCGATCGAACTCAATTAAAATGTCAAAAATGCAATATAATCGTCTATTAAAAAAACCTTTATACAAACATATTTCATCTGCTGCCGTCCAGACGACGAATTTTCCTAGGTTTGGTTATTTCACACTTTAACTGACTTCACTACAAAAAGAAAAAGGCATAAATAACTTAGTTAGCCAAAGCTTTGTTTATTTTTAAATACTGCAAAAAAAGTTTTTTTTTATTCAAAAATTACATTTTTTAACTGAAAAATTTTTTCAAGAATAATTATCAATATTTTTTTTGAGTTTGACTGAGGAAAAAAGAAAATGGGAGCCAAAATGCAAAAGGAAAAACAGAGGACACAAATTTTTAAATCGATTGGAATTAAACGACAGCCCTATGTTGAACGTTTGTAAATTGTAAATGACAATTTGTGAAATGTTGATACGATACGATATTTTTAATTCTTTAATTGTGTAATGTTACTTTGCTAATATGGAGCTGACAGTTTCGTCAGAAATTTATGCAGAAACTGATTTTGACCCAGTCAAAACTGATAATGGAAGTAAGTAAAAGTTTAAAAATCATGTTTAAAATTAGCAAAATGCAGATAGTTTTTCGTGTAGAAGTTGTATACTATTAAACAGTAAATGTTAATTGTAGATGTTATTTCAAAATTTAGATTTTTCTCCCCACCTGAAAAGGTGAGTGATTTAGATAAAGATGGCGACTTAGATGTAAAAAGAAAGGAACAAAAAATTATTGCAATAGGTAATTTCATTAATACAAATGGAAATGTAACCTTTAAGATTTTTTTTTTAGAGCATTCTGCGTCAACCGTCTTAAAACTTGTTGGTTTACAAGTCTGGCGGGGTGCACTATTGCTAGCAGACTTCCTTTTTCACTGTCGCGGAGATATCTCTAATAAAAACATTTTGGAACTAGGTTCTGGAGTTGGACTTACAAGCATTACAGCCGCTATGTTTGCTAAAACTGTTGTTTGCACTGGTATCCATTTGTTAATTCCAAATATAAAAAAGGACATGATTAATTTAATTCTAGATATAAATGTTGGAGGCATATTAGACTTAATTAGAAATAATATAGAAAAAAATAAGAGATTCCTTAAATGTGATATCGCAGTTTTGGAACTTAACTTCAAATCAGAAAAATTTGAAGAAAATTTAGAAAAATATATAGAAGAATGTGACATTGTTTTGGCTGCTGATGGTAACACAAACATTTGAAAACAAATTTATTTTATCCATTATTTTATCTTCGTAGTAATTTATGATGATGATTTGACCGAGTCCTTTGTATTTACTCTCGATAAATTGCTTAATAAAGAGCGATACAAGAGAAGAAAAATTATTTATATTGCTTTAGAAAAACGTTATGTATTTACAACTTCGGATGTAGACCTATGTCCACCATGTTACGATTTTTTTTTACAGATGATAGCTAAAAAGTCATGGAAAGTTGAAAACGTTGCAATAGATTTTCCTCAGTTTTTTATATATGAAAGATGTAAAGAACTTGTTCTTTTAAAAATCAGTCATTAATAAAATATTTTTATGTTGTTTTATGTCGTAAAACTAATAAATAGAGTAATATTCCTCTTATATCTGCTTTTAGTTTTTTTGCTCCTTACCTCTTACCTTGCATTGTTTCTAGTTTTTTGGCTTCTTATCGAATTTTTTTCGATGCGTCTTTTTGTAAAGATACTTTTTCAATTTGAATAGAATCATAAAAATTTACTGAATAAATTTGTGGATGATTCTAAAACAAAGTACGTACAATACAAAATTAAAAACGGTTCCAATTATGTAATACATATATAATACATACACATATTTGCACTTTATTTTGATGCTAATATACATATATTTCTTAAATGTAAAATATTTAATATAAAATGTTTACTTTATATACCAAACCGCGTAATTTTAATAATAATTTTAATGAAATTTATGAACAACACATGTACCTACATACATGTCCTTCAGTATTAAAATGTTCAGTTTTCGTTACATTAAATGATTAAAACAATATTAATTTTTAAAGAATTTTTTTTGCAACAGAAACGATTTTTCTGCTAATTGAGTTTAACGCTGTTTGTGTGAGTGGCAATACTATTAATATTCGTGCAGGTATTTTTCATGTGACTATGAATACATAAATAAGATTACGAAAAATCAAAAACTTTGTGTATGAAAGACCATGCTATTTGTTTATCTGAATTATATCAAGTTTTCCAATTTTTATAATTTATTTATGTATCTAAAGCTTTTGTTTTTGCTTATTGGGTCCTAAGTCGAATAGAAGTAAGAAAAATATACATACTTGCATATGTAAATTCTAATGTTATGAATGATTCATTATAATGCATTATAATGCATTATAATCTGTTCAAGATATAAATGTTGATAGGAGAACCTTTTTTACAGAAGAAAAATGTTACATGTAAACAATTTACAGCAGAATTTCATTTTGAACAGATCTATAATGTGCATAGCAAATTAGAAAATATAAGTTAGAAATCGCGAAAGATATATTAAAAATGTTAAAGATTTGACAAAACATAACGCAACGATTTTACAAAAATTTAAATTAATACTGATTGCGCTAAAAGAAATTTTTAAAGTATGTACGTACATATGTGTGCACATATAAATGACTTATTTCATTGTGTTACACTACCAAATTTAATGATAATTATGCGCTCAATTTGAAACGTCGTTTGCAAAAGTAGGCAGCTAGGTTGCATTTACAATTAAATTGCAAATTACTTGGATTACAAAATTAATTAAAAAACAACTACATAAAAACAAAGAAAATATTTTAAAATACTAGTTTTTTGATTGGTTTTTGACAAAGCAGAAGTAAATAAAATAATTTTAATAACTTCTTAATTCTGTCCTTACTTATGAAGATTTTTATAAATTAATATAATTTTTATTGAAATATGTTATGGCTATTATAATTAAATCCAGAACTTCAATTTAATTTCTAATATACTGTGATTTTTTAAAAAAAAAAGTAAATATAATATGATTACACTTGCTACCATTGCAAGGAAATTTTGACAAACTTTCTTACTGTTAATTGTTTTGGGACATGCTCTTAAAATCTTAAAAAATTTGCTTTATATGTTAGTTTTTAAAAATCAAATTAATATTTTCTTGACTTGATATGTTTTTGTAACTAAAATTTCATTAAACTTCTTTATATTATAAAAAACCAATAAATAACATTGTTCACAATATGATTATTTAATTACAATGAAATTTTAAATGACATTTTCTTAAAAACGCCTTTACTTTTAAAAAGAAAACAAAATCCAGAATTAAAATCTTTGACATCTGATTATAGCACAAATTTCTTAAAACCCAATATAATGTTTATTATTAGTTATTCTTGCACTTCTTTTTTTTTCAAAAAAAATAATACCGTATATTTAAATTTAAAACCACAATGATCTTAATGATGAGTATCGACGTGAACGACTATTACGGTGGTTATTTGATGTGCCAGTGTTACTACCACAATTTTGAGTGTTTCCACTAGATCCCAAATTTAATATTCTTCTTCGTTTAAACCAATTGATAAAAATAATAAATACTATTAAGGTTAATAAAACTAAAGTAATTAATGAATAACTAAGGGTTTCCTCATCAGATGAATGTATTCTGCTATTGATCACTTTTAAATTATAAGCATTTTGAACACCTTTTTTTATATTATTTTCCAAAAAACTAGTTTCATCAACATATATAGTGCGATGCGATGATTGTTTTTCTCGATTGCTGTTTCTATTTTGGAGATTGTTGATGCCACCTCCTTGTACTACATTTGCGGTACCAAATTGCGATGATGATCCCATTGCAACTACCATAACACCCAAATCAGAATCCTCTTGCATTAAAATACCTACAAAATTAAAGCATTTGTACTAATTAATGAAATTATCAGCTTAATACTGGTATGAGTTAAATTAAAGTGTAAAATAACATACTATGCTATTGCATATGATTGTAATGGCTCGGTTTTAATTAACATTTACAAAAAAAACTCAATATATGACGTGATTATATGTAATTTGTCTTAATGAACGAAATTTATAAAACATAAATGAAAATAATTACATACTACAAAGTTCTTGTGAAAACACTTAAAAGAGGTTGCGATTAGGATAAGTCGAGAATACAACATTTATGATTAATAACAAATTAAACCCTGAACCATTACGTACCTCACCTTTTTGACTTTCTAATTTTCTTAATAAATTGGAATTATTTTCGCCATCTTCACCATTAATTGTGTGATGTGGACCAGCCGCACCAACACCAAGGCCATTGTTCAACATATTTTCATTAATAAGCATGTCGTTTCGCAATTTCAAATCTCGGGGTGCTGTTAAATTTAAAAATATAGGATGCCCCCAATTTAGAGTCAAACATTTGGGTAATACACGTTTTTGTTGAGAATGTCGGGGATCTAACACCTTTGAGTATTGATTTAAATTACTACCAGACATTCTTCCTGGCAATAGTTTTGTTGGGGTAGCAACATCAGATTGTAATATTACATGATTATTTTTGTTCAAATCATGCAACAAACTTGATATGTGATTGGTCATCGTAAATTCTAGTAAAGCATCTAAAAGCCAATAGCAAGGTTTTTCTAAATGTGTTGAGTCCAAACAGTTAGAATCGCCAAAAATAGCTACACGACCTTCTCTTTGATTTAAATTTTTGTTTTCTGTTTTGATAAAATGCTTGAAATTTTGGTTTTTAATATCATTAAAATTATGTGTATCATTAATATCATTCATTTCCTGTTCATTTTGCTGAGGTGGTAAGTTATTATAATTTTCCCCTTGAAGATTTCCACTATCATCTTCACCAGCCCCTGCATCTAAATTGTTTGCTTCTAAATCATTTACTAAATCATCAAATTTTTCTAAATTTTTAATAATTTCGTCATTATCAAATTTTATGGTTTTTTCATTTTTCGTTTTATTCTCTACTTTTATATTTGTATCTTCTAGCAAGGTTCTTTTATTTAATATAGGGTTTCTCTTGACATCTTGCTCTTCAAGATCTAGATCTGGTTGATCGATGACGTTCTCATTAAACTTGTTTTGTTCATATTCAAGAGTATGAAATTTGTACAAATCGCGATCAAGTTGAACCAAACCTAGTATGGGAACGGAAATTTTATACCGAGCTCTTTGTTCATTTGTTTTTAATATCTAAAAATATATAAGATTTCAAAATCATCTTTCAAAGCACAAAATATAAGTACCTCTAAACCTTGATCATGCAATTCTGCCTCTATTAAAATAGTTCCATTCGTTTTTGGAAATCGTATTATGTTAGCTCCACTAGCGTAATACATGCTATGATCTCCTAAAGCGTAGTATCCTTCTCCAACAAAATCACCAAATGCTATACCAAATTCTCTTAAAAGTTCATTTAAAGCGGGAATATTAGAACCACCAGTATCTGGCATCCACCACTGCCTTGTGTTTTCATCGAAAAATTTAATTTTTTTCATCACCGTCGTGTTATACCAATCTGCAAAGACAATGATGCTGAGGTTTAAATTATAAACGTCATTTTTTATTTTAGTGATTTCTTCATCGAAAAATTCTTCTTCTGGATCAACAATTAACAATGTTCCGTAGTTAGAAGCATTAAAACAAGTATACGGTTGTCCCAGAACTTCTATATAATAACCAGCATTTCTTAAATGCGTATACATGTCTTTGAAATTGGTATGGATATGATCGGCCCTCCAATCTAATGGATCCGATTTAATTTTCAAATTGTCTCTCGGCAGATAACCTGGAGGGTACCGTAAACTATGATATTGGTCCCAAAGAATTCTTTTGTGACGTGGAGGTTTTGGTATGATTTTAACTCGAATGGGAAAACTGACAGTACTATTACGTGCTTCAATTTCGTCTGGCCCAGAATGGCTTTGAACAGTGAGGGTTATGTGACCCTGGGCCAAACCTTCAAAATTTAAACCATTTTCGTTTACAACTGGAAAATAATAATAAATATTAAATTATTTTAAAATATTTAAAACAAAGAAACTTGTAACCACTATATGAAAAAGTACCTATATGCACCGCCATCCATCCGGACCATGGCCATAAAAATTCTGAATATGTTACTGAGACGTTTAATAAATGACCATACTGTGTAATATAGGGATGCCATGTCGGTTTGTTAATAACACGCCCTGTTACACCCATTCCATTTAAAATTGTAACATTAGCAATTACAGGTGAACATGAATAGTATAATGACTGCGTACTATATGGCCACATATAATCCTCTGTGAAGTCTAAATAAGGTGGGCTCAATGTAGCTTTCGGAGAATATGTCGAAAGAATTTTCATACTCTTCAAAATGTTTAGCTTACCATGACCTTGTTCAAACATGTTATTGTCTGTTAATCTTGTAGCCCCTTCAATCAAAGCTTGTTTCATTGATGATGGATTTATCATATCAATTTTGTGAAGTACTCCGCTTGCAATCAGTGTGACTAAATTTCAGAGAAATCAAGTTTTACCTATTTAACTTTAAATAAAAGTATACCTGCTCCTGCGACAACTGGCGAAGCAACTGAAGTACCTGACAAAGATCTACACCCACCTCTAATATTACTTCCTTTAACTTGACTTCCATAAGTTACAATATCGGGTTTTAGTCTTCCATAACCTAGTGGTAATTCCCAAGTTGTCATTCCTCTTGAACTAAATTTTGCAATATTTTCCTCAAAATTCATTCCACCAACTCCTATCACATCGCTTTGATCCCCTGGGTTATTTAAAGTCCCATATAACGGCCCATCATTACCAATAGCTGATATCATGATGACTTTATTTGCTGTTAATTCTAGAACTTTATCCACGAATGGATGATCCAAAAAATCTGGGCCCCCAATACTTAAATTTAATATATTTATTTTTTTTAAAATGGCATAATTAAACGCATCTAAAAACCATGATGTATATGATACTTGGTTATTAGTAAAAACTCTGTATATGTGTAATTCTGCATCTGGAGCAAAACCAAGGCATTCTTTTGAACTAGCTATAACTCCAGCAACAAACGTTCCATGACTAACACCGTCGTCAAGTGATTTTTCATTGGTCCAGTTTGTACGTTCTTTGATTTTTTTAAAGTGTGGGTGATTTTTAGACAACCCTGTGTCAAAAACAGCCACTTTAATACCTTTGCCGGTTATACCCAACGACCAAAGCACATCCGCTTTTAGCATTGAAGTTATTTGTCTTGGAATGGCCCGTAATAATCGTCTGTTAGCATGTTTAAAAATATCATCGCTAGTCTGATTTGCTATACCCGAGTTATTGAGCGCATTTAAAATAACTTCGTTAATAGGACCGGAAGAACTTTCGGTTGTTGAGCTTTGATGTAAATTTCGTTGCAGATTTTTAATTGATTCTGCGCTTTTCTCAGCATCGTGTGCAATTTTTTCTATCAATTCGTACAGAAATTTTTCGTCTTCTAGAAACTGCTGTTCTTCTCGTGTACTGTCCGATTCACCTGATTCGTTATCATAATCGTTAATATATTTATTGCTATCTTTTTGTATAGGAACATATTTTAAAGAGCGGTGTACCATGCGTTGTGGTGTCACGCTTTTAACAGCTGGGTGAGATTTTAAAGCTTCCAATCCAGATAAGCTTGTATCCTCTTCCAATAAAATTAAATCGAAATCACTGGGGTAATCACTGGCTGGATTTGAACGTGGTAAAATTTTCCAATTGATTATCTGCAATAAAGGAAGGAAAACAGTAAGTTTTAAACAGTTGATTACTATAATGTGGTAACAAATTATATACATACATATGTAGTTATTTAATTAACAACAAAGTTTCAATGAATACAAAGGGACTCTAATTGTTATTGGATTGTAAAAATGTCGACACGAAAATACACTAAAGAAAATATTCTAAGTCACGGTATGTCTAACTTTAATTTATATTACCCAAAGATGCCAAACGTTCCCCAGTTTTCTTGTTTAAAATAATCTTTTTAATCTTGAAGAAAACTTTAATTTTTCTCTTTTTCAAAAGTTTTTTAAAAAAGATTTGATTATGAAAATGTAACAAAACTTAAAATTAAGTTAAAGATAGTGTACAATGCTCTTAATATTGGTTAACCAATATTGCCATTTTTTTCCCTCCCGGGTACCGAGGCCCTTCGGCCCTTCTGACGTTGACCCATAGGATCTTTTGTGATTCCGATCCCCACTTACATTAACTCTACACCCAGGCCCCTAACAAACCTATGGCAGTATGGCAGCCACATCAAGCTGCGAGGTCCTCCCACAAAGGGTTACAAAGTCCCTCCCCCGAAGCATCTCAGTCGCAGGCGAGCAACCGTTTCGCATTAACAGAATAAGTGCTCCATGGTTTCGTCCTCTTCCAGGCATAAACGGCAGACTTCATTCGCCACACTGCCCATTCTTTTCAGAATTCAACCCTCGAGAGGCAGTGTCCACTGAGAACCCCCACCAATAGCCTCAAATCTGGACGACCGAGCATGGCCAGACGTCGTCCCCCCAGTCCCAGGGGAGGCACAAATTTCTTAGAGTACGACAGGCCCAAGCAATCGTTCCAGTGTTCAAACCTGGCTCGCTTCTCCCATCCACTCACGGCACGCAAGACCATTACTCTTGGCATCCCAAAGCATGGCTCCGGCCCAATGAAAGGAGCCGCCACTCCCTCCCTAGCAAGACTATCAGCTCTCTCATTCCCATCCATATGCATTCCTTCAGCAGCCTGGATTCTACTACATCAAACGATAGGGCCCCAAGAACTAATAATAAATATCCTGATCCTTCTAATGTTCCTTCTGATACAATCCAGAGCACACAACTCTATGGCATATTTCTTGGACTGAAATATCAATGGACAGTACCCCAGGGCGCTTGTTAGGCTTACGCCCTCACCGTACACACCCACGCCCACCGCCTTATTGGTTTGGAATCCATCCGTATAGACCACGGCTCCGAGGCAAAGTTGAGGCCCCCCCCCCCCGTCCCAGATCTGCCTACTTATTAGAATGTTTGTTTTTTTATATTGTGATTTTTGTACAAACATGTGAGATGCTAAAGACTTCACGTCATATATTACACATATTCTTTAAATTAATAAAATCAGCAAGTAAGTATAATTCATGCTTTAATCATAATAACGCATTTGAAATAAAGTAAAAGTAAATCTCATGGAAGCGAGTAAAGTGAAATATTACTGTTACTTTTTTTATGGTTGGTTTTATTCATAAACTCAAGAAGCTAAAAAAGTTTTGTGTTAATTTTTTGAAGATAATTGGTTCCCAAAAGACTTGTAGCAGTCAAAACCCTTCAAGAAAACTTTTCAAAACCAATTCAAGAAAACTTTTTGTATGGAAATGGCCTCACATATTAAAGATATGTTCCAGCTCAAAATCAAAGCATTTTTAAGTATTTCATAAATTTATTTGTTAATACAAAAATTAAAGGAATTAAAATTACAATAAAAACTCAACATAATTCGGTCGTCTACAAATTATACTAAAAATTATACACTGAAATGTTTTTTTATCCCAATGGTATTTTTTACTTCGCAAAGTAAAATAATGCAAAATTTTTTTTCCAGTGGGTTTTGGTAACATATAGAATTCAAATATTCAATTTCAAGAAATTCCATCAATGTGTTCCGTAGATATGATAAAAAATGTAAAATTGGCCCTCAGATCAGTTTCCGAGCCCTGATCTTTCCAAAAAATTTATATGTGCGTTGCTTTAATACGAAAAATTTAAATATTAAATTTCAATGAAATCGGTTGATTATTTCTCTTTATATACGCAAAAATGTATATTTGGCCTCTAGTAAACGTCCAGTTGCTGACGCCTGATTTCTTCCAAAAGGTGATTTCGCGGACGGTCGAGCGAAGCTTATCTATGAAATTTCAAGTAAATTTGTCGAATATTTTCTTCTATAAATTTTCATCAAAATCGGCTCAGCCAAACTTGAGATACTGAAAATAATTTATTTACACTTTAATACCATGGAGAAGTGTGTTCCCACCGAAAACTCGATATGCAAAATTTGTTGCCATCACATCACCTACCTATTGTATACACAATGCGGTCGGTAAAAAGTTAACATTTTATTTTTCTACTTTTCAACTTTTTAAATTCTATTTTTCAGTTTTTTCGATAAAATATTTTTATACCCTGCACTTCGTGAAGGGTATATTAACTTTGGGATGGAGTTCGTAACTACTTGAAGGAGTCATCTGCGGTATGGACATATATATATATTCTTGCTCAGCGTAAAATTCTGAGTCGATTTAGACATGTCCGTCCGATCGCACGATAACTCAAAAACGAATAATGCAATCGACACCAAACTTTCACAAGTTTTTTCTTTTGTGCCAAGGACGAACCCTATTGTTATTGGACTAATTCGGACAACGGGTTCGGGTAACTGCCATACAACTCAAAGAGTTTATTTTAAATATTTCAAAAACTAATAAAGCTATAAATATAAAATTTTGTATACATGTGTCCAATTATATTCTACACATGCTCTAAAAATTATAATGGGATAGCTGCACCGGTTCGGGTGGCTGCCATACAACTCCAACAGCAAATTTTTTATATTCGGAAAAATAATAAAGTCAGATTCATGAAATTTGGCAGTCATGTGTCCAATTATAGGTCAAATATATTTCTGAAGTTTTAGAGGAATTGCAGGACAGGTTCGGGTAGCTGCCATACAACTCCAGAAGCTAATTTTAAATATTCGGAAAAATAATAAAGTCAGATTCATGAAATTTGGCAGTCATGTGTCCAATTATAGGTCAAATATATTTCTGAAGTTTTAGACGAATTGCTTGACAGGTTCGGGTAGCTGCCATACAACTCCAGAAGCTAATTTTAAATATTTGAAAAAATAATAAAGCCAGATTCATGAAACTTGACAGTTGTGTGTCGAGTTATAGGTCAGATATATTTCTGAAGTTTTGGTGGAATTGTTTGACAGGTTCGAATAGGTCCCATACAAGTCTAAAAGCTAATTCTTAATATTTGGAAAAATAATAAAGTCAGATTCATGAAACTCGGCAGTTGTGTGTCCGATTATAGATTAGATATATTTGTGAAGTTTTGATGGAATTGCTTGACAGCTTCAGGTACGTGCCATATATTTTCAAAGCTAATTTTAAATATTTGAAAAAATTATAAAGTCAGATTCATGAAACTTGGTAGTCGGATGTCCAATTATAGGTCAGACATATCCGTTAAGTTTCTATAGAATGATTTCACAGGTTCGAGTAATTGCTATACAATAACGAAAGGTGCATGGTATAATTTAATCGGTTTATACCGACTGAAACGTTTTTACTTGTTATTTTTCAGTTTTTTAGAAAAATATACTGAAAACCACAAAATATATTATGAAAATTTCAAGTAGGTACAAAAACCAAATAGTAAAATTATAATTCCTGACTTGAAAAATTTGCGACAAAAAATGCTTATTAATTTCATTTTGTTCGTACGTCCGCCCGTCGATATATTTACAATACTTCTACACTCTTGCTGATAGAAATATCATACGTACATAGATCTTTACTAGAAACTTATTTCGCTAAAACAAAATTTTTACCTATCACCTTCCCTCTAAGTTATAGCCCTTCAAACCCCTAAAAATGGCATTTTTCAACTAATTATTACAGCAAAACCATAAGCATTTTTCAAATTTTGCAAACGCACAAAAATAGATGTTGGCTTCTTCTACCGCGCCATACCATACTTGAACTTTAAAAAAACAAAAATCGTGCAGGTTATAGCCACTAATTACTAGTTCATTTCGTTAGAAGAAAGTTTTTGACTACCTCTTAAGTTATTGTCTCACGAAATTTGTAAAATTTAAATTTTTGGTACTTTATATTTCCCGAACCGTAAGCTTTTCCAAATTTCTACAAACGCAGAAAGCTAACGAAATATTCTATGCCACTAAAAAATATAATTACTTTTTTCCAACTTTATCATTTTTCAGTTTCTGAAAAATTTGATTTCAGTGTACGTAGCGACATCTAACCAAAAAATATTTCAATCACGTATCTCTTACTTATCTTCCTCTAAAAGTTACAACCTTTCTTAAGTTTTAATCATGAAAGTGCTTTTAAAATTTTATAAAAGTTATAAAAGATGCGTCGTTTCAAGTTGTCCTCCATATAAAAATAAACATAAAAAGGAACTTCTATAAGTTCTAAAGTTTCTGATGCGGTAGTTTAGGTAAATTAGCGAATTAGAAATATGTGAAAATAATTCCTAATAAAGCTATAATCATAAAATACCCAAAAAAATATATTTGGACTTTTAATATAAAAAGATATGCAAAAATTTTTATGAATTATGAAGCATATAAGTTTATTAATATAGTATACACATGAAAAATATATATGTACACTACATCAAAAAATTGTACATATAGCAAATGTTTTTAGCAAAATTGATTTTTTTTAACAAAAAAAGAATTTTTTTAACTTCAATTTCAGAAAATAAATAAGAAAACTTAATAATTATTTAAAAGTAAATTTGAAAAAATTGTAACATTTTTAAATTTTTAAAATTTAATAAAAACATAGTCAAAAAATTGTACATACAACAAGAAATTGCACATACATTGCAAATATTATGAAAATAAAATAAAATTAATAAAAAGTACGGTTTCCTTTAATTTTTAAAACTGCTGATAATCGATTTTTCATTGATAACGC